GAAAGGGAACACGGGCATCTAAGACCAAGAAGGGGCAGGTCAACGTCAAGAACATCGCGGTCAACGTCAAGAACATCGCGGTCAGCGCTATATGTGCAGGTTCTCGTGCTTGCCTATCTTGTATCGGAGCCTCACTAACTATGTCCTAGTCCGGAATTGGAACGTACTTCATCCCGGGTCTCTCCCGTTTTTAATGTGGGAGAAAAGAGACTGGCCATTGTTTTGTGTGTCACATCCCGGGTTATAGTTGTTGACAGCTTTATGCAGCTATCTCAATCAGCGTGGAATGAACATCGGTACACTTTTGGATCCACACAACTTCCTGGAGCTGGATGTATCTTTCCCATGCCCAACTACCACAAGGCGACGAAATATGTCTGTGGTTGGTAATATACATTGTCTGATTGTGCAATGAACATTCCTTCCTCTTCGTCCTCTGGAAAACCAAAGTGGTTAGTTCCGAGAGTCAGAAAAGTTTGGGATTCTCACGCAGGTCAGGGCAGCAGAAAGTAGTAAATGGACCAGCGATTTGGTGACTTGGACAAAAGAGGAACACAAGGTGGTTAATCCCAAGGCTTCTGGTTTTCTTTTTTGTTTCTTCTCACTGGAGCATTTGAATAGCATTTTCGACAAGTTCAAGTTGAAGTTGATCCCTTCCTTCACTAAGCGCAAGCAAGCCCCAGATGGCTTGATCACTGCAACAAACCTCATCCTCTGCAACTCCTTCCCTCCTTCATCCAACTGTTTCGCGATCAATGACGCTCCTGGCAGAGTCTCGTGCTGCTTGCTTTGACCCCGCTTTCGGTAGCAACAGCAAGATCTTGTCCTTGACGTACATGATTTTGGTCGGGTGGTCCGGCTTCACCTGATTTTATGTTCCGTCGAAGAGCTCCTCTTATTTTTGGTCTCTGTACAGGGTCGGTAGACTTTTAGCTTGAGTTTGACTGTTCTTTGTTCAGGAGATATTCTCAACGTTTATTTTCTGCCATCAAATTTTGTGATGGTTACCAGTGATGGCCCGTGACTCGTGACTCGTGACGCATGACGGACGCCCGACTCACACAGCGACCTTCATTGGGCCCCTTGTGGGCTTTGGCCCTCGGCTCATGAACCGACACATTGTAGATGCGCGGACAGCGCAGCACTTGCACCGCTATAGAGGCCAGCCCTGTGTATGCGGCCCGCTCTAAAACTGATCCTTTTCAGAGATGGCAACCTGTATGAAACAAGCTGTTCTTTTCGATCCTTCGGCTGTCTCCTCTCATGAGCGCAATCTTCTTTCTTTCGCATACCACCAGGCTATTAAGCGTCTTCAAAAGGAGCTCGAGACGCTGCGATCGCTCGAAATGCCCCAAGAAAACCAAAACGCGTGGAAAGAACGTCTTCAAGAAGAGATGGCCGATATATGCCTCGAAATCATTACATTACTCGAAGAGACCCTTATGCCGGTCGTCCAATCTCGTGGATCCACAGACGAAGAGGCAGTCTTCTATTTCAAAATGTGGGAAGTCTTAGACGGTGGAGGTTTTGCATCGCTGATGGAGAACAGGTTAGGTGACTTCAATCGATATCTTGCGGAGGCTACCATGGGGGAGCAACGCTCTATCTATGCCACCAGTTCGGTCTCGGCTTATCATGCGGGACTTGGTGCCGCCACCCGTTTGCATCCTGCGCATCCGATCCGTCTAGGCCTCTCCTTAAATCTTGCGGTGTTCCATTTCAAGACACTCTCTTTGCAACATGTCGGCCATGTGGTTCTCCGACGAGCCATATCTGCGGCTGTGGAATACGCGGGCCATCTGGACGGAGAGTCCCTCAAACTTGTGGCTGCACTTCAAGGTGAAGATGAAGATCCAAAGGCTAGGTTTGTTCTTTACGCTCTCGTTCGTGTCTCTGTGCTGATTTCTTCGCTTCCGTCCCAGAACTCATAGTGGTAGTACCGATGTGGGGCAAATCAATGATCTGATGTTTCAGGTTAGCTGATCGTGAGTGGTTTCACCTGCTCTGGAATTGCTGGACTGAGTGATTTGAGGCACGAGGAGGAGTCGCACCGCCAACTTTTTTCCAACCTTGAAAAGGGTAGCTCTGTGGCCTGCGGCTGTAAGTTATCATACATGAACCAAGTATGCGTTACGAGTTTCGTGTGCGGCTACAAAGATAGTCAATTGGCAAAGTCTGAGCAAATGTAGGCTCGCTTATGCCAGCACCCAACGGCTACTTAAAATCAAAGGACAAGCACGATGATCCGCCAGAGGGGCTGGAACATGCTCACCCGCGGCTGGGTGACAAGAGCGTTTTGGCGGTCGGGTCCTGTACAAGTGAACTTTTTCTCTAAAATTTCCATTTTTCTTGGACCATTAGATAGCCCTCGACTCATGATGTTTTTATTTTTGCCCGAATGTAAAAATCGGACGAAAGAGTTCCCATCCGGCAGATCACAAGACTGTTACCGTCACGCTTTTGACAGCTCGGTCCATGCTCGGTCCGAGCTTGGGCCAACTGGAGTTCCCACCACTTATCTAGCTATGTGCTTTTAAGGCATATTTGGTGGAGGTCTCAAACATTGTCGACAACTCAAAGTCTTTTAGCACTCGTCACCCACTTACTGACGACAGGGTTCTAATCCTCCCCCCCGAGACAGACAGTGTTTTCACCGTTGCAAGGGCCAGATTCAACCCCCTGGGAGTTCATGGACGGTCTCACAAGGGTTGCACAACCCTTCGAGGCTCGTCAGCCTCGCGAGGGTCCTAGGGCACGCTTTCAAACCTCGAACACTTGTTGTGGCAGAAGTAAATCTTCAAGAAACAGACATCAAGGTGACGGGTGTGAAGTGAATCGTAGTTTTGGGGGAGTAACAAACAAAACCAAAATGTAGGAGTACTGTGAATATATTTGTCTTGTCTTGTCGGAGGGAGCAAAACGGAGGGAGGAGGAAGAGTAATGCCGAGAGACCAGGGAGGAGACCGATAGAGAGGATCGGTCGGGTGGGGATATAAGCACGAATTTGAATGAACAACGCGTCGAGGACAAGAAATGAGGCCCTCGCTCCGAGTCGCTCCCATGTCCTACTCGCTCACGCATGCACGCGATCACGCCAATTGCACCAACTTTCTGGAGTCATTTAATGTTTGAGTAACTATCATTCCTTTCCACTACGATAGCGGCTGAACGTCTGGGCCCATCCATCCTCCCACGTGCTGGTCAATTTCCACTACTCGATCGCAGTACTTGATGATTGCCCGTGTTACGGTCTCTGCATTACTCATGAGAATACACATTGCTCCGTTAGAAACTCAGGTACACTGACCTAAGAAATACTCTGAGGATGTACCTGGCTTGCATCGAGTCCTTGAGTTGCGTAAAATCCAGGAACACCAAATACACCGGCTTTCAGGTCCCAGCACCTTGTACAGAAAGACACAAGGCCGTTTATCCAGAATGCAGCGTTCACAGGCTGCACGCTACCTGGAGTTTCAGTGCGCTTGGCAACATGAGACGAGAACTTCATACCTGGGCCGTGTGGTGGCTTTGGATTTTGGACTGGACCTTATGTCTGAGTGCTTCAGCGAAAGGTTCTTGTTGATTGGCTATGAACCAAATACGCCAATTTTCAACATCTGGGGGAGGGGTTATCGTCCGTTGCAGCGCATACGCATGAGCCTCAGTCGTTCTCTGGACTTTCTTGGGTCTTGCATTTGACCCTACTATGGTTGCAGACGGCGCCAAAGGAGTATGTGGAGCCAACGCCTATGCATTGCTTGTAAATTTTTCGCTTGACCCACCATTGAATATACACACTAAGGGCCCATCAGTGGGAGTGGATGAAACCCGTTTCAAATCTTGTTGGAGCAGATGCATTTGTTCTCTGAGAGTTTCATTCTGCAAAAAGAGGGTAAGTAGACCCAAAATTCTGAACTGGATAAGTTTACCTCTTGGTGGAGTTGATAAATTCGGTCCTGGGTTTCAGTATGCCATTGCAATACCACCTTAGCGTCCTGCGTGATGCGGGAATCCGGGGGTGAGACGTTACCAATATAGGGAGAAGCCGTAGCTTCCAATGGCGTCCGCAATAAATGTAAATTCGTGGGGAATATATGCCCAGTGTAAAGGACAGCTTGACGTGCGTCCTCCACTTCATCAAGAAGAGATATTGAAAGCAGGTCCATTGCCGCTTGGTGTAGTGGGTTAACTAGTGTGAGAGGTCGGTCATCTTGAAGAATTGGCCGCAAAAGAGCAAGCAATGCCGGGAGGGCGACCCCAATAAGCTCAGTTTTACTCGCCTCAGAGGCCGACCATCGTCGAATATCTTCTTGGGCATAGGTAGTTGCATCAGGAGATTCCGGCCGAGGAAGGGGTATAAGGGAGGCAGCCACTAGATGCATCCAAGTCCTCAGTGACGGAAGCAGGAACCTATGTAATGCAGTGCCAAGTCGGCGGGCTGGAAGGGGGGAGACTGGACAATAGAAAGTCCAAGGGAGCCGTCAACTTCTGGTGGAAAAATGACTGGTGTGAGACTAATGAGAAGATAGGACCGCGTACTTTCCTGCCGTAGGACTGTCGGGTCTGAAAGAGTGAGATTAAGAGTGTGATTAAGAGTGTGATTCACGAGTCACAACAACGAGAACTCTTGCTCACCTCCGTCATTGCGTCGCGCCATCACGACCCACTCAAACCCCATCGCTGCTGCCAACGCCGACTTCCCCGTCATCCTCCAATGGACTGGTGGTCGCGCTGAGGACTTCCATCAGCCCATTCTCCAAACTTACCGCGCAATCCGCCAACAACCCAATATCTCTCTCGTTGGTGGCAGTGGCTTCGGTGCCGCGGAGGATGTTTGGCCATACTTGACTGGTGAATGGGTCGTCAAGTACGAAGTTCAACCGATGCATTTTGATGGATTCCTTTTTGTCAACTAGTCACGTCATGGTGGCGAGCCAATTCACAAGGTTGCAACTCGTGGTGTCAAATTGTGGAAGGAGTTCGACGACACCGTTTTCAAGATGCCGAAGGAGAAGCGTGCCGCTTGGTTGTTGGAGCGACGGGACGAGATTATCGGCAAGCTGAATCGCGACTTCAGCAAGCCGTGGTTTGGTTGGAAGAAGGATGGCAGTGTCGCAAAGGAGCTCGGCGACATGACTTACGAGGAAACCGTTTTGCGTATGGTGCGCCTGATGTTCGTTGCTCACGAACAGCGCTGGATTGATGTCTCGTTGCGCAACTTAACCGGCGATTGGCTTCGTCGTGTTGAAGAGCGTTTCGCGGGTGTCAACGGTGGTGGACAGAAGCCTTCTCTGCTTCAGTCTTACAAGTCCCTGGAAGACCCCCTGCCTTTCATCAAGTCCTTCTTGAATGAGTATCCGATCGCCACTAAGCAGCTCCTTGCTGCAGAAGACTCCGCCTACCTCCTCGCCATCTCCCAACGTCCCGGTCACAAGCCTGTTCCCTTCATTCCTGTTCTCGATGCCACTTTCGAAGTCTGGTTCAAGAAGGTTCGTTTGACTGTCCCTATCTTCTACTATGACTGATTTTTCTCCGTAGGACTCTCTTTGGGCTGCTGAAGACATCGAGGCTGTCTTCGACCAAGACCCCCAGCGCGTTTGCATCCTTCAGGGCCCCATGGCTGTTAAACATTAAAGGTCAAGGACGAGCCGATCAAGGATATGTTGGGCAACATTCATGCCGAACTCATTCAACGTCTTCTTGCTTCCAAGACAACGGCGACGAAAGCAAAGTTCCCACCATCGACTACCTCGCTGCCCATCCCATTCCTCCTCTTTTCCGTCGTCCCGTGCATTAAACGCACCCAAGAGAGGCAAGCGGTCGACGCGCTTGCCTGTTACCTCGGTTCGGCTCAGAACCTTGGGCGGTCAAGAGCTGAGCCGGTTGCGCGCTTTGACCCCTTCGACGACCATCGCGTTCAAGGCACTTCTTACATCGACAACCCCATCAAGCGACTTCTTGCGCCACGAACAGGCCAGAAGATTGTTGTCTGCTATGAGAATGGCGCTCCCGTTTCGGTCCCCCTCTATGCTCGTTCTTACGGCGAGCACAAGGAGTTGTTCAAGGCCGTTGAAATCAAGTACTCCCCGACAACGAAACTCATCGACATCACCATTTTCGAAGATCGTCGCGATGTGTCCGTTCCGCTCTCCCTCCAATTCGAGTACAAGCCGTCGATGGGAGGTAACTTGACTCCGTACCACCATCATGGGCGGTTTCCCACACCCCAGTGGGCAAGCTCGGATGCCAGAGACGGCCCCCGCAAGGTGGCTCTCACCACGAGAGTCACCCGGGGAGCCGCCGCTGCCCGAGAGCCATGCAAGGGCGGACCTCCCAGCGTCGTCATCGTTACGCCACCCGATCAAAGAAGCGGGAAAGCTCCCACGGGGCCAAGGGCTTGCTTCCGCCCACCTCCTCACCTACCCGCTGAGCGAAATGCGAGCCACTGAAGCCCCGCGCCGAGCGGGCCAGCCGCCACACGCACAGCCGGCCCGGGAAGCCGGTCATCGAGGTCGTTTCCGCCTTCCTCTACCGTGGTCGCTTTACCGACTACGAGAACACTTTCGAGACGACGGAGGAACCTGACTACGTTGTCAAGCTCGAAACGGATGCTGCTGTTGGTGTTCTGCAATCGAAGGAATGGTTCGAGTGGATCGACGAGTCGAAGCCGCTGTTGGCTGGAACGAGCTTGATCTTCCGTGTCCAGTCTTAAGTCACATTTAAGGACAAGACCTCATACAGCAATGTCACCGTTACCGGTCAAGTCTTCGTCCGCAACCAGCTGAAGGAGCTCATTCCTGTTGGCTCAATCGACTTCGAGCCAGATGACGGCCGTGGTAACCCGGTCGTTGCTTACATTCAACGACATGGTGTCGCGCAAGGTCTCTCGACGCCTCTCCCCAACGAGGGCTACACATTGAACTCGACCCCAATTTCGTTCCACGCTCCACTTACCAACGAGCCTTACTCGAAGGTCTCAGGTGACTTCAATCCCATCCACATCAACCCGTACTTCTCCGACTATGCCTCCCTCCCTGCCACGATCACCCATGGATTGTGGTCCAGCGGCCACTCGTCGCTATGTCGAGACTGTTGTTGCCAAGGGACACCCTGAACGCGTTCTCTCGTAAGTTTTTTATGTCTAATTTCTTTCCCTTTCTAACTTAATTTTACTCAGCTACGACGTCTCGTTCGTTGGCATGGTCATTCCTGGTGACGAACTCAGTGTCAAAATTCGCCACGTTGGCATGCGGGATGGAAGCATCGTCGTCAACATTGCCACTTCTATGTAACTCTCGTGGCGAGAAGGTGCTAGGGGGCTCGGCCGAGGTTTCGCAACCCACCACGGTCAACGTTTTCACGGGTCAAGGTTCGCAAGAGCAGGGCATGGGCATGGACTTGTACAATTCATTGCCTGCTGCTCGTGCCGTCTGGGATGGAGCCGACACCCACTTGCTTGCAGTCTATGGCTTCTCGATCGTCGAGATCGTCAAGGACAACCCGAAGGAGAAGACCATCCACTTTGGTGGTATCAAGGGTCAAGCTATTCGTCGTCGCTACATGGACATGACCTACGACACGATGGACAAGGACGGGAACGTCAAGACCCGCTCTTCTCGGACATTGATGTTCGCACGCCCAAGTATACCTTCAGCCACCCGCAAGGTCTGCTTTTCGCAACCCAGTTCGCTCAAATCGCGCTTGTTGTCACCGAGGAGAAGGCCGCTTTCGAGGACATGCGCATGAAGGGCTTTGTTCAGAAAGACTGCGCTTTCGCTGGCCACAGTCTTGGAGAGTATTCTGCCCTGGCCTCAATTGCCGATGTCCTCCACATCTCCGCCCTCGTCGATGTCGTCTTCTACCGTGGTATTACCATGCGGCGGCGCTGTCGAGCGTGACGCGCACAACCGCTCCAACTACGCGATGTGTGCTGTTAACCCGAGTCGTATCTCCAAGACTTTCACTGATGCGGCGTTGCGAGAGGTTGTTGATACTATTTCGACTTTGACAGGTACTTTGCTTGAGATCGTCAACTTCAACGTCGAGGTTTGTTTCATTATGTTCTTCGATTCCTATGCTCATCATTCGTAGGGTCAGCAATATGTCTGCGCTGGAGAACTTGTCGCTCTGCAAACGATGACGAATATGCTCAACTACTTGAAGATTCAGAAGATCGACATCTCCAAGGGTATGTTGGTCATATCCGTTACATTCGACTTAACTCATTGTGTTTGTTCAGCTGACGGAGCCGTTCACCGTCGAAAAGGTCAAGGAGATGCTGGGAGACATCGTCAAGGAATGCTTCGGTCGTGCCCAAGACCAGCATAAGGCGGAGGGCCACATCAAGCTCGGCGTTGCTTCGCCACAATCCCCCTCCCGGTATCGATGTGCCGTTCCACTCACAGTACCTCTGGGCTGGTGTTTTGCCCTTCCGAGCTTGTATGCGTTTTTCGTTTTCATTTTCACTTTGCTAAATCATTCTTTTCCGACTTGTCGAAGAAGATCACCGTTACCCAGCTTGATCTCGACATGCTCATGGGCAAATACATCCCCAATCTCATCGCTATCCCCTTCGCTATGACCAAGGAGTATGCGCAAATCATTTACTACCAGACTTCTTCCCCACGTCTCGATAAAGTTCTCAAGAAGTGGGACCAGGAGAACTGGTCAAGTGCCGAGCAACGTCAGAAGCTCGCCTACATCATCCTTGTTGAGCTCCTCGCTTACCAATTCGCGTCCCCTGTCCGTTGGATTCAGACTCAGGATCGCCTTTTCACCGAATTTGCCTTGAGCGTTTGATTGAACTTGGACCCTCTCCCACTTTGACCGGAATGGCCACTCGTACTGTTCAACGCTCAGTGCTGGACATGTTCCTTGGGTCTTGTCATTGTCATCCTTCGCTTCCTTTCGGGACACTTATCTTATTCAAAACCCTTGGTCGTTTATTCAATTTCGGACACATAACTGTCTTCGCCTGCAGCGATTTTGTCCCGGTTCGTCTGCAAAATCAACACGTCAAGTGTGGTCTACGCCTTTACTCGTGGGGCGGATCGCCTCTTTTTACTGGGACAGGATGGTACAATGGCATGGTTTCCATTCGTCCTCCTCAAGAGACAATTTGTTCTCGGCCCGTTCTTCTGGCCCTCCGCACCTTCAAGCTGTCATCACTCTCGTCAACTCATTGTCAGACGACCCAATCCACTCCGTCCGTTGCCTGTGGAGGTGGAGGCTGCCCGTCATAGTCTGGTTCCAGTATGGGATAAAATGTCCACACTTGACCGCTTTTTTACTGTACTCACTCCTCTGCCCTTTTACTTAGTACTCCGTACTTAGTCTCATCCTCTAAGGATCTCATGCCCTACCTCCTTAATCCCTCATTTGAGATACTCTGTTTCTTATGGTTCGAAATCATCTCCAGTGTTGCGCGCACGAAACAGGTCACGGATTTGTATGGAGAAACACCGCTGTGGCTGCTTTCCGCTTATGTAGCTGATTTCAGGGCAGGAGTACTAAGATGATGTTCTTATGGTCCGTGGTCTCGCAGGCGTCGTAATTTATTTGGTATTGGGTATTTGGTTCGGCCCACGGTAATCGTGGCTGTGTGTCCACGTTCAATCGATGTGACAGAAAGTTGAGTTGAGGGTCACAGCTTTTTGTTTCCTTCGGTTTCCATGGGCCGCAAACCTAAACCGAGTTACATTGAACTCTGGGACCCTCGTGTCGCTCGAGATGTTGAAGATCGCACGGAAATATGGACCAAGCCGCTTTATGCTCAGGCCTTGCTTGCCGCCCTGCATCAACCGATACCCCAGGCGAAGATTACACGGCAAAACCTCGTGCGAGAGATTGCAAGCTCTCCTGCTGAAGTATGTACAGCTTCTCTTTGGAACGTTGACTTAAGATTCAGGTGAACTTGGTGGCGGAATATCTTTCGCGCGCGACAGGTCTGGATTTCAACCGACTGGAGCTCAGTTGGGTTCCAAGGCTCCTCGAGGATTTTGTCGATTATCAGTTCCTTCGCTACTCACAGTGCTTTGGACGTCGGCCAACGCCTTCGGACGATGCTACAGCTCTTCAGCGTCTTGTAGAAATCCGAACCTATTTCTTCAAACTAATTCCTCCTTTGGTGCGAGTCCAGCTTTTACCACTGTCTCTGAAACTGAGGGAAATTTCCGCAGCCGACATCTGCTCCTCAAATGTCGATCATGGAGGAGGTGCTGGCTCCCTACGGCCATAATTACAATTTCGGCTCAGGCTCCACTTTTGTTATTCCTCTCCCTCCCAACACGTCCGACTCCTCTCTAGAGCTTTCCGATTCGGCCAGCGATTCGGCAAGTGATTACGATTCAGACAGCCAAAATGACTCAGATTCCGACGGCTCTTGGTACGCGGAAGACTCGGAGGACTCAGAAAGGAGTGATGATGAGGTCGATGCCGAGGAGATGGAAAATTTGGAGGATCGATTCATAGAAACAGAGGCTTCGGATGCGAGTGGCAGCGATGTTGACTTGTTCGCTGTGACCCAGCGCATCCAAGGTCTTTTTTACCGGGTTTGTGAAACTGCCCTTTGGCACTTCTCAGCTGATTTGTGTCGGCAGAAAAGCGCCTGGCCTAGTTCTCAGGACCTTTTTGAGCAGGTTAAACTCGTGAGAGATGACGGCATTAAGCTTCGCCGAATTCCTGCTCGGATCTATCGGAGCCCCGAGTGGAAAAAGAAGGTTCAAGTGAGCTTTTCTTATCTCTCAAGTATCTCTACTGAACTTTCACAGCAATCAGGGCTTCAGCGGGTCCTATTCGACTTTTGCCGCAATGACAACTTGCTCGAATTCCAGTATCAAAACGCTCTTATGCCTTCTTTTTGGAAGTACAGATGGAAACTTGCGTATCAACTGATTCTCTGTAAATGGTTTCCTCCTCCTCCTTCTCCTCCTTCTCCTTCGATACCGGAAGCCCCTAAAGTTTTAATGGTGAGAATCTTGTGAACGGCAAGGTTATCACTGATCAAGATAGAAATACACCATTGGAGAGCAACCTGGTTTCCGAGTCCTACATAGTAAACAAATCGAAACTCCTTACGCCAACGTATTCGTTCCGGCATTCCTATCTTATTGGGGCCGGACCCGGCAAATGCACCCTTGGGCTTATGACCCCATGGCTGCCTTTTGTCTCGTGTCGCATTCTTCGTTCAGTTTTAACTGGAAAGAATGGATTCAGCCTCATCTGTCTGGTCTCGGTTACCCTGTATGTGACTCTCTTGTTGTTATTTGATCCTTCTCATGCACCTCAAGGAATCCCTCGGTTGGGATGTCAACTCGCTCTATCGGGCTCTTTGGAGATTCATCCTCCCTCAGAAATCGGATGATTCTTGCATTCCTAGTGACCCTGCTCTCGGGTTGGCTCCCGCTGCCCAACGCCTTCTTCCCACACTGGACCCTCGGCTTCGGACTATTATTACCGAGACGGCCTGGCAGCAACAGATACGACATATTGCCGATAGACAGCTCTTTGCGAAAAAATCCACCTCTAAACCGTCGAAAAGCGTCAAGTCTCCCGAAACTATGGCTGCAGACCCAGTACAATCCGATCGGCCTCCTTCTGATCGGCCTCCTTCTGATCGGCCACCTTCTGAATCTAGTACATCCAAAAAGCGAAAGCGGCGTAATTCCGAAGCGCAGCATATAGAGGAAACTGAAAAGATCAAGCGACTTAGCGTCGAGTTCAAAGTCGACGAATCTGTCAAGCCTACGTGGTACACCGATGATGGCTGCGGCGAATGCTCCATGATCCCTGATCAGGAGCAGCGTTGTGCGAGGCTCGTTCAAGTTTTTGTCAATCCAAACGCTGCCCACTACAAGGATTACGCTCTCACTGATGCTCCCGTTGGATCCAGATTGAAGCCGAAACCGCCCAAGGTGTGACCACTCTCCCGCAGTATATATTTTTTCACCCCTGTTGGAAGGGAAAGCCTCGTGCGGAGCAGCAATACGTTACAAGCGAGGAGCTAGGTCTTCGCTTTATTCGCTCCAGACCTGGTGTCCAGGCACGCTGTGGGCGTGATATCGTCAGGTTCTGGTGTGAAGTGGAACCTGGCCTCATCCGTCTGGTGAGTTGAATGCACGCACTGTTATTGCGCTAAAAGTTATCCCTAGGTTGGTGGGGTTAGATTCAAAGCATTCTCGGAAGAAGTTCTTGACATTTTGCTGGAATCTCACCGTCTCGTCAAAGTCCAAGGTCTTCGTCGACGAGAAGCACTATCTCGGTGGTCTCACCTCGGGGCCATGACCGGTATGGGTTATCGACAGCCCAATGGCGGTGCCCCATTCGATATATACAATGCGTATGTACATCATAGCGGCGATTCCATCCTGGATATCAAAGCTGTGATGCGACAAGGGCTTGTTTGTCTTCACTTTCTCTTTGGGCCTTCGAACTAATCAAATTCCCAAGACAATTGACCTCCTTGTGCTGGCTGCGAAATCCATATTCTCTGGAGTTGAAACTCAATATCTGGGTATTGCCAAGGAGGCTGAACTTGGGCGATTTGGGCGATTTGGACTCACGGGGTATCACTGCACAAATTTCGTCAGTTGCGTGCATTGCGACTCTGACATTACAGGCCATGTGCTCCATCCCTGCATGCAACTCATTCGGGAGAGATGTGAAGATCGCGATTACAATTTTTGCCTACGTCGAATATGGCATTGCCTTATCTACTGAGCCTAATGCTGTCTGGTAAACTGGTCACTCCATTTATTCTTGGATGGGCTCAAAGAACCAATAGGCTGTTTGATGGCTGTTCTTGGCATGCGACCATCTTACCCAGTGTGGAATCAGTTTCTCCTCGTGACACAGCCCAAGTCCCAGCAACTGCTGACGGTACATCTGGTCCAGCCTGCGAATCTGAACCTGGAGCCCATCAATCTGTATCTGGAGCCCACCAATCTAGAGCCCGCGGATCTGGAGCCCAGCCGAGAAGTGGTAGCGCTGTCAATAGGGGTTCGAGGGTCCCTCCTGGTATGGGTCAGCGGCGGCAGCAGTCGGAGGCGCAGTTTCTGAGGGTAATCACGCCGTCTAACAATCGACGCAATGTTAACAGGGCCAGACGTTGTCGTCGGGCGCGTGCGAATTTTCAGCGTTTGCGGGCGGCGGCACAAGGCTGATTCATTTAAATTGCTCTCTGTATTTCTGTGTCTATCTCAGGAGTAACAATAGATATCATGCACGAGAAGTGAGGTGCGTTAATTTGTGGGAAGATGAATGGACGCCGACGGGTGTGTTAGGATCATCCCAGGTTTGATGTCATCAGACCTGCATAGCCTCCATGGATGGTCCGGGTTCCAGCTAGGCGTCACAGCCGAAAACAAGCATCACGCGTCACCCCGTCGACTCCGCTTCGATGAACTCGAAATCCAATAAATCTTACGACACCTCTCTGCATTTCTCCTACCCAGTACTTAGTGCAGCTCTACAACCTCCATATACGCATGCATCTTCAACAATCTGGCCTTTGCTTTACGCCCCAGCCTGTGCCACTAGGTGGGCTCCTTCGCCTCCCCTCAGGCTCCTGCTAATTGGACACGCACAGAACTGACCTTCGCCTGCATTGCCAAGCTCGATTTGCGCGAGATGCCCAATGGAGGTAGGATTAGCGAAGTTATTGCTGAACTCGAAAAAAAGTTGTTGCACGAAAAAACTTTAATCGTTCTCGACATTTTTCCAAAATAGCTGTAAATTGTGTCGCGTTCAGGGTCAACCCAAACCATGCCTCTTCCATCGACAGACACTACCCCCGCCCAGCTAAATGCCTCGCAATGGCTGGCAGTTGAGCTGCCCTGCCCCTCTGTACCTCAACATGCCCTTCAGTGTCCCAACGGATATGAGCATCGCACTGTTGTTCACACAGCTGAGAGAAGCAAGGATTTTACAAGATTTGGGCAGTGGGCTGTTATCGTATGTTCTCAGTTGCTTCCAATACACTTTCTAATTATTCATGCTAGTGTCATAGTGGAAAGCAAAAACCCTGTCGATCTTTTGTCCTGGTGACCCAGACTGACGCCAAAGTCACTGAGATGCGTCGACGGCTCCAGCAGTATCAGTTAACCCATGGAAGACAACGAAACCGCAGAGGTGATTAGCGTCTATCTATTAGGTTATTCCCAACTAATTGTTCTTAGCGAAGAAGGGATCACTGCTCAAAAACACTCTTGATCAACTTGAGACGACATTAGCCCTTCTTTTACCAGACGGTGAAAGAGTTACTTTAAGCAAGTGTGTTATATTCTCTCTGAGACCTGAAATGATGTTCTGGGCAGCCCATGAAGATCTACAAGTCGGGGAGGAGGCCGTGGAACGTGTAAGAGAGTTGCTCTCTCCACCCCATGCATCCCACAAAGGAAATGGTAAGTAGTCATTCTCTATTCCTGCTCGGCTAACTGAGTTCTCTGTTTGTAGCCAAGGGCAAATCAAAGCCAAACTCGACCCAGCGTAAGTTGACTCCTCCGGTCTATCCTTATGCTGAAAGATTTAGCCCCACGCTTCCCCTCTCTCAGTCCGACTCACGATGGAAGTCCGTTTCCTGGAAACGAGATCGAGAAGGGTCATTTAGTTGAACGAGACTTGTATTGGCTTGAGGACAAATATCGGTACGCAACCGACAATCGTAAGTTGAATTCTTCCTAGCTTTCCTTGCTCTTACCTGCCCTAGATCTCACTGTTCTTGCTCACTTTTGGATCCGGGAAAACTCGGCACCTGTCACTCGCATTTTTAAGCTTAGCTGGAAGAAAGCATTTGATCTCTCGACTTTTGCAGTCGCCCATGACATTAATGCAGTCGGTAGCCATGCAACAGCATTGGAGCGCTACTCGCGCACACATGGGACTTGGAAGCCAGACGCTCTTCACTGTCTCGACTTTTCGGGATATCAAGATGGGGAAGTTGTCCTCTTTCGTGCTCAAGGTCTACAAGATTATCATTGCCCAGGCCTTCATCAACAACTCCCACCTATTGGTACACGGAATCTAGCTCGACTTCTTCCTGCATCCAAACACAGAGCATGGGCCGAAGCTGGGCCCTCTCGTCTTACTGGAGCAAAACGTGCGCGAACAACGTCTTCCGAAAGAGACCTGCCAGAGCGGCTGGTTATTAAGCGACAAAAGACAAGCTCGTCTCATGTTATTGATATTAGTGACGATGACAATTAATCCTATCAGTATTGTCCTACCTGGTGAATTCTGTAGTTCGGAAAGAACGACTTGATTCGAAATGGGACTGTCTGATATAAGCAACTTTATAAACGAACAAAGAAAGATTTCTATTGCATGCGAGGATTATACGTAGAGTTTTACAGCCAAAAAGGAAAAGCAGAGAGTAATTGTAGTTATATGCGCGTCGTCAGTCTAATGCAGTGTTCGTAAAAAAAAGGAAAATCATGAAGCCGTGGCTTGGGCAATCGCAATCGCGACTGTTTCCGAGTGGCTGAGCAAGATCATCACCTTGCCCACACCCTTCTTGTCCGCGGCAGCCTTCGCCTCCCCATAGAGCCTCACAACGGGCGCATCCGTCTGCTCGTCGTTGACAATCTCGATGTCTTGCATCGCCGCGCCAGCGCCCTTGGACGCAACGCCCCAACGACTTGAACACGGCTTCCTTGCCGGCCCAGCGAGCAGCGAATGAGGAGGAAGGCGAGGGCTGTACTCGGCAGTAAGCGATCTCCGCATCAGTAAAGTTGCGCGAGACGAAGGTCGGGTTGGTGGATGGTACAGCAGAGATGAGCTCTTGGTCAACACCAATTCCAATGACGCCGGGAGTTGAAGAAGCGGTGAGGCTCTCGGTGATGGCAGCGACGTTGGCGGTGTCAATTGGGACAGCGGTCGAAGGCTTTGTGAACTTGTACGAGTTGGTCTTGATATCCAAACTTGTGCGCGCCATCGAGTTGAGTAAGGCGGGGCCTCCTTGACGCGGACCAGCAAATGCTTGATCATCATCTCGCTCATCGCCTTGTGCGACTGCTGCGCCCGAACTTCGTGGCGGACCTTGTATGCGTCGTATTACGATCGCTCAACAGCGCCAAACAGGAATCGCGGGTGCAATACCACCGACTTGGCCAAATCCGAATGAGGACATGACACCAGCGCGGAGTGACTGCCATCGGTGTGGACAGGCTTGGAGGGGAAGAGCAGGTAGCGGCGGAAGTGCGAGTCGATGTTGCTGGAGAGGATTAGAAATGATAACAACAAAGGGAAGAAACATACTCGGCATTTCTGTTACCCGGAACGACACCACTGTTGACTGTCTGCCGCAAACCAGCCATCTGCCAGGCGGCAGATCCACCCTTGGAGTGACCAAGCAAGCTCTTTTGTGCCATAATCGGGACAGCATTGCCAGGTGTTCGGGCAAGGGAAGTGAAGATGTCGTTCCAGATACGGGTCTCGTTCTCCTCCTGTATGTGAAAGGGTTAGCCAAATTCAATTGATAGTCACAACACGAACGTTGGCCTTGGTGCTGGTTCCGTGAATCGACAAAACACCAATATCGTCCGCCGTCAGACCCCAAACAGCCAACGCACGACGAAGCGGCGACACTCTCGGGTCAGTGCCTTCAAGCATGCCATACATCGCCAACTTGAATGCGTCTCGCTCTGGTTGAGCAGCCTCCTGCTCGATGTTGGCAACACGAGCGCCGAAGAACTCGTCGTCAACAGTATCACCTTGGGCTTTGAGCAGCTCAACCTCTTGAAGTTGTGCGTGCTCGTGAGTGAGCCTTTGCGAGATCTGTTTGCGGCGGAAGGCAAGTTGACGAGCGCGATAAGCCAGGTCGGGGATAGGGAGAGGGTGTTGGGAGGGGACTTCGCGGGCAACGGTGAGAGGGCCGAGACCAGGAGCGGGAATAGAACGACCAGCTTTGTCGCTGTACAAAATATGTTAGCTGGAAACGAAGGAAACGATAGATGAAAACCCACGTTGAAGTTGAGGTGAAAGTAAGGACACCACGGATCGGGCAACTAAGCTCGAGAGCAGTCTTGGCGCTCATGACGATGTGGACACCAGTACCTTGGGCCTCCATGAATTAATCAAGAGATAAGTAAATTGCTGAAGGAACTAGGAATCAACTTACCCCTGCACGAGTAGTAGTCGCTGGACGCGATATCTCAGTCGGCTCACGACCCATAGCAAACTCAGACTCGGCGCTGCTAGTGGCCTTCATGTTGGCGAACTCGAACGAGCCTTCTTCGCAGAGCGGTTGCACTATTGGATATGATAAATTTTCTCCCTGATTCCGGTGAAAAATGACTGACCAAGCGCCGACGGGAATCTTGACGGGTCCACTCGGACGACATGAGGAGCAAGTTGATCCAGCCCGCGGTCGTGTTGATGAATCTGGAAGAAAGTTAGTGTAAATCATAGTCAAAACTTCAAGACATACGTTTCTTGCAGGATGTCGTTTGGCACATCCCTCTCGTCGCGACGATCCTTGAACATCTTGCCCATACTGATAGTTCCACCCTTTCTTCCAAGACACGTGCCGACCTCGGACGGGTGCATGTGCTTGTAGAGCTCATACGGGTCGGTGATTCCAGAAGCATTGAGTGCTTCAGCGGTTGACACCAGCGCCCACAAAGAGCCACGATCGACTTGAGCGATGATGTCTTCGGGAATTCCGTAGCGACCCGCATGCCAACCAGTCAGAATCTGTCCAGCGACAGTGCGGTTGAAGTAGAAGCTCTTGGGGACAAAGACGAGGGCACCCTTCTTGAGCTTGAAGAACCCTTGATCCCCTTCGCCGGCCCAAATGTCGCATTTCTCAGCGTGTCGGAGCTTGAACTTCTTGGCCTCGGACTCGGTGACTTCGACTGGATCAAGGTCGTGCAGGAGCTAGATCTCCTGATTGGAGACCTTCTTGGGCAGGTCGTAGCCACGGAAGAGCTCGGAAGAGCTCGGGTTCTGTTTTGATCAGTAAGTGATCACGTGCAAAATAATCAACTCCCCGATATGACAAACACCAGCGTGCTCGAGAATATCTTTCTGGTAGCGGCCCTTGACGTCCTTGTCGTCAACAGGCTCGCCACTCTTGCCGTCCGCCCAGCCCACATACAAGGAGCCATCCTTCAAACGCCCATCAAAGTGCTTGAGGTAACCCATCAACCACGCCCTCTCAATGCACCCTTGGATCGTGAACTCTCCGCGCGCCTCCATCTCCCACCTCGTCCGCGACCTGCCCCATGGCCCGACTTCACCATAACCAGTGATGACCATGACCTTGTCGAGGTCGATCCTGCCTTGCAACTTCGACAAATCAGCAAAGCTGTTGTGTGCCTCGAGAGTGGGGAAGTCGAAGCGGAAGTTGGCACGAGGGGTAACATCGACTGTCTGCAGAAGTCGCTCGGCCTCAACACCGTTGATGACCTGGAAATCGGCCGAGTAGTCGAGCGTGATAGCGCAGCGGAGCTCGCCCTTCTTCATGAGGTCCGAGTCGGACCGGATGTGGCCCGTGATATCGGCCAAGTCGTGCAACTTGTCCATTCCACCATTGAGGTCGGCCCAGATTCGAGTAATGCTGAAGAGGAGCGGGTGCATCAGACCGAGGATGTTGAAGGCCATCTCCTTGGCAGAGAAGGTGCGGACACCGTAGCTCTCGAGCTCGTGGGTGACAATGTTGGTAGGGCCAGTTCCACGAGTCCATCTGCGATAGTCGTAAGAAAAGAATATACCCAATAACAGCACCAGCCAAGCAGAGATATTCGCCCCAGTTCTCCGAAGCCCAACGTTGGAACTTGGAACAGAGTTGATCTTCGACTTCACATGCCTTGGAATTCAAGCCTCTTACGTCTGCGCCAACACCCACTTGAGGCCAAGAGCGAATACATGGACTCCTTGCTAAATGCAAAGTATTCGACAAATTCCTTCAACTGAGCTTAACGGTTCAGCCTGGATGCAATTTTCGTCACCCAGCTCAAGGTCAAATGCCCCGTACAGTATGTCCACCCCCCCCCAAACCCACGTACCCGCCTGACGACTGCGACGAGTTCCTCACCAATATTCTACTCTTTCGCCTTATGCACACCTGAGGTGGCGTTCTGCCATCGGCCGTCCGATTCTGGCGTGTATAGCCTTCACCCGCAATGCTGAAATCCCTCAGGAACGAGAGGCCGACCACCTCTACAAGATACCACAGGCCCAGCGGCCCCGAGGAGGCGGAGTCGTCCGTGACTCTGCTACGATCTCGGTTGTCCTCGATGCTACGCACAGCAATCACATACTCTCCCGCTATCTTGCATGCGGCAAGCTGGGAAAACTCAGAAAATAAAAGTGGTGACGCGTGCAACTATTATGCTAATTTATAGGGGAGGCTGAACTTTGAAACGGAACCAGACGATGACACAAACATCAGGACATATATCGCGGTGCGTGAGAAGCTATACTGAGGAGATGCGGCCTACGTTTGCCTTAGATTTCACGGTCAAGCCTTGCTCCTAGAAGTGTTATTTCACATTTTGTAGGTGGGTTTCGACGAAACACCACCACTAGCTAACGGAGTCACTCTAGACAATAAGGAAATTTTGAAAGCTTGGTCCTAGGTCCTAGGTACGACGTGTCCAGATTCTCGATAGTACAGAATTTTCCCGTACCTTTTTTGTGCCCATGATGAGTCCGTAGAAGAGGAAGTTATCTTACCATTTCTGAAATCTTGCAGTAGAATCGCGGTGTCGAAGCCGTGAAAAAAACCCATCTATGGTTTAGGAAGATAACCGCTCAAGGTTATGAGCGCTAATATAAAGTCTCTCAAGCTTAATAACCCACCCAAACATGTCCTTGACCGTCACCAATCGAGAGCAGGCAGACTTCGGTGAACCCGACCCTTATATGACTGAGCCAGCGTCTCCTTCAAGTTCCCGGGTTAGAATGTCTTCCAAGTCCAACGCAGATCATAACTGTTAGCCAGGCTTCAAAGTCGCTAACCCCACCAACTTGTGGCCAGCCTCAACTCCATGGTCGCCTGAACAGCGACTTGGACAAACTCCAAATCAAAGTGAGAGTCCGAGTCTTATCTTCTCGAGATGCGTTGGATAAAGCCGTTCCAGCTTCTGGAAACCAACGGACTCGAAATGACCTTCCTCGTCCGACGGGAAACTCCCATGCTCAAGGTTATGGTAGCGTTTGCAGCACGCCGAGACGAGGATTATGAGCAGTTCAGGTCTTTGACGTTCTCCTGCCTGAAAAGATCCTAGATCCTGATTTTCAACTCTCGCAGGTTCCTGTTGGATGGGGTGCGGATAAAAACGACGGACACCCCAGCTTCCCTTGAAATGGAGTACGGAGGTGTGTGTCCATTAAGCCTCTGCTAGTGACGATTCACCGGTCGCCAGATATCATCGATGTTATGCTTGAACGTGGGTCCCCCCTTGTTAAGCTTTCCAGAAAACTTACAACGACCCAGAGATTGGAGGCAGACTTGACTGATCCTTATTCTAACCCGTGATACCTTCAATATGTAGTTCTGGTTTCAACTTTTTTTCTTCCGTGAGGTGACTTACCCGCTTCGCACCTGTGTAAGATAATTCCAGTGGGTCTGTGCAGGCCAACCTGTCTCCGCCTTCTCAAGAGCCTCTCCTTTCCCTATTTCGTGAGACTTGGACCCGTCTCCCTGGGAATATTATGTTATTGAAGGGGTCATGGCGTCCGAGAGGTCACGAGCTGTCACAAGCGGTCCCGTGTTCTGTGACTTTGTGACACCACGCGTGACCCCTTGTTTCTTTCCTCTTACGACTTACGACTTACGACTTGCGTGTTGAACACTTTCAGCCTTGCTGCCCTCAGCAGAGTAAAGCTTGGGGAAAGTTGCTCCACGCGAACACTCTCTCTCTTCTTCTTTTTTTACTGCTGCTTGGTGTGTGTGGGTGTGTGTGCTGGTTCGCTCGACGAATGCCCAGGTACGCGACTTACTTCCCCTCCCTCGTTTTCAGCTATTCATTCAGCCTGTTCTCCCCTAAGAAGGGGTCAGGCCATCGTCTCATTCTGTCTACAACTCCATCCTTGGCCGTTGGAGCTCAAACTCTTGTCTCGCGGCTACTTCTTAGTTCTAAGACGCGACTCCCCCAGTTCCAAGACGCCCCCCCCAGATGTTGCTCCCTCCCGATGCTACTCCCGATGCTACTCCCGATGCTACTCCCTGTTCCCTGGATGCAACTTCCCCAAGTCGCAACTTCCCAAGACGCAACCCCCTTCCCCCGGACACAACTTTTCTAGTTCCCCGACGTCCCGAAGCTCTTCCCGACGGTCTATTGGAACTCACTGGCCCCGTACGAAGCCCTTGGTTGGCGAGCCAATGGTCGTGTGACGATGGTCACGTGCTCACACGCTCGCGCCTACCTCCCTCGTGGCTGTGAAGACCCGGCTTCTCCTACCGACATCTCCTAACGACCTCAAGACGGATTGCCCGCTCTTAATTCGACCCTCCGTCCTCTGAAACCGCTTTATTGGCCTCCATCCCAGTCCATGGTGTTGGTGTTGGTGTCCCAGCGGATTGAAAAATTGTTGAAGCTGTTCGCCCTTATTGTTACCTCTTCTTGTACCTACTAACTTTCTATATATCTACCCGTAACCTGTGATTCTAGATAAGTCCCATACTCTAAGACCAAACTATGGCTTAGCCTTACGACGGCCGATATCGTTTAGGTGTCTATATATAACCTCGTTGTTCGAAATATCTAGGAGCTTGCAACGCTTTCTTCATTATAACGCCACAATTTCCTTCCTACTTCCCCCAACATGACCAGACCCCTTCCTACGGTCAGGCTTCCCAACGCTGAGCCTCTAGTTCCTTTCACTCCTACGATTGAGGACATCCTGAATTTTGTGGGCTCCTTTAGAGACCGTGTGCTATATCAAAGGACCAATCCTAATATTGGTCGCTCCACGGAGGTCTCTGGTGCCGAGCTTGCCCAACAAACCTTTGAGATGAGTCGAGCGAGTAGCCTGTGAGCTTCCAGTTCTCTCCTCCCTTATTTTCTTCTGACCTCCTATCCAGAGTAGCCTCTCTGCCCGATATATTTTCTCTTGCACCTCTGAGTGCGCTTTCTTCTCAGTTTTTTTTTGTACTAGCTTTTCACTTATAACAGCCTGCCCTGTCTGTCGTCAAGATATTCCTCAACCTGGGAAAATTCTGCTGGCCCTCTCTTATAGTTTGAGGCGCTGTACCTGGAAAGCTTCAGATCCATCCCGCCCGCTCTCTCCTGAACAAAAAGAGCTGAACGAAGAAACAGCGGCGCAGATCAGAGCCACTATCTGTGCACGTCATGCTTTGGAGAAGCAATGGCTCCCTTTGGGTCAGCGGAAGGGTTGGATCACGGATGTAAATAGCTCCTTCTTTGAGCATCTTGGCACCAAGGAGGGGCAAGCTTTTATCAAGAAGCAAATCCGGAACTCCAAAGGTACTATACCTGAGCCTGAGTTGACCTATGGCTGGTGCGTTGACTTACTTTCTTACTCTATGATAAAATTTTAACCTCTAATTTTCTAGTTATGGGACGGGAGGTGCAGATTACCTCTGGTTTTGGCTCACAGCGCATATTCAGATGGATGACGATGTCGTAGCCGCCAAGACTTTCATCCTAAGGCAGATTATAGCCTACCTAGTACACAAGACTGGGGTGGTGGAGAGCTGGGAGGCAGCGGTTACCTTGTTGAGGGAACCAGAGGCGGTCCAATATGGCGAGGCGTTGTTTTCAAGAGCTGATATTCAACACCTTGTTATGTAGAAACAACTTAGAGGCGCGTCGCGCTTGCCTTTTTTGAGCACTTCCTGTACAAATATTTCTATCCGAAATTTGTATCTACAATTCCACGAAGTTTTAGTTTTGTGCGTTGTTTGGACTGCGCCTCCGAGCTTGCGTGAACTGTTCCCCAAGAAAGTTCGGCCCCTCCCCAACAACGCCCACGACACCGTGGCCACCCATATGGGCCGATTTTTCCATCCACCCATACCTCCACTTCAGCTGTGTCCGCGCCATACTCAGCAGCAAACGCCACCTCCACCTTCACATTTACTCTGCGCAAGACACGCGTGGTTGACTTTCGGCGTGATGGTGACTCGCGCCAGCGGCATGCATCCACAGCGGCAGACGAGGACCTTCAAGAAGGAGCCGCCAAATGGCTGTTATCCCGGGACAACACGGGTGTTGGTCAACTATCGGGATATGGATTTGCACGCCCATTTTTGACGTTGTCGAAAGAGATGTAAGAGATGTGGGCCGAGAAGGAGATAGAGTTGCGGGCGGGTGAGACGGCGAAGTCCCTGGTGAGTGAATTTGACAAGATTTTGTGTTTCCAGCAGATGGAGGGTTCGCGGCAGTACAGAAAGCTGAACAACTTGGGGTCCAGTGATTCAACAAGTGCGGGCGCCCTCGCTAGCATTGACCGAGACAAGCGTGTCAAACCCACAGACCTTCACACCGAATTGCCAACAAGATTAAGGCGGAGGAGTACCGCTATCATCCCAACGATGACCTATCTGTGCTTAAGCCTGTGAAGCGGATGAATGCAGCGGATGAGTGCAGCGGGACATCATACCTTCATAAAAACATGCCAACAGCTCCCACCGCCCGACGTGTACCCGCGGCGGCAGCCCCTGTAGCATTCCCGACCCTCACCCTGAGCTGCGCTTTTCGGTGGACGACAGGTCGTGCTAAAACCTGGTCAGCACTGCCGGAGGTAGATTTACGAGGTTGTGAGGGTGAGGGTGTCGGACTTACCAGAAGACCACGAGTCATTCGAGCGTCGAGCGTCGAGCATCCGAAACCGCGCACGGCCCGTATCACCGTGGTCCAGAGGACTATGCTGTCCGTATGAACCCGCCGGATGTTCTTCCGGCCCATTTTGATGCTGAGGCTCATCGGTGGAACGCCTGCATGACTGGGCTGATACCAACACCCACAACTGACCTCCGAGGCACCGAAGAGGTACTTCTCGCGTCCTTTCACGGAGGAGATTGCAATGGCCAAACGGAAGATGAAGAAACACGGGACAAAAAGGGCAGGACAAAAAGGGTCTTGGTCGACGGAATAAAGTATTCCCAGCCGCTGGAT